TGTGGGGTGTGTGTGTGTGGTGTGTGTGTGTGTGTTGTGTGTGTGTATGTGGTGTGTGTGTGTGTGTGTGTGATGTGTGTGTGTGTGTGTGTGTGTGTGTGTGTGTGTGTATGTGTGTTTCCCTCCAACCCTGTCACCATTAGGTCAGCAGCGTGACCTCTGTTTCCTCAGCTCCCTATACCTCTCCCCCTTCTGTGCAGTGGGAACTTTTTCCAAGGCTCTATAGCAGTCTCTCTCTCTTCTCTGTCCTTATGCACACTCACATCCAGGGCATCCCGGGGAAATGTGTTCCTTGGACACCTCTCCCATTGACCCAAGATTGTGTGTGAAGACCCAGATGAAGTCTTGAGTAAATGTGTATTATTGACATGAGCATAGCCATGTCAAGGACCCCAATGCTCCAGACCCATGGCAATGGCAACCCCTTCCAGGGCATAGGCTCTGGGATGACAAAATCCTCTGGTCCATATATGGATGTTCCACACGATTGATCTTTAGCTCAAGCCAGTGTTTTTAGACAGTATCAACCATGGCTTCCTCCTCCTGGATGCTTACAGCCTGAAACTCTTCCTCCTACTGAGATGAACCAGCCCGCCTGCCTCCTTGTCCTGCTGTGTGCAATAAACTAATGAGCATGGGGAACTCTCCATCAGAGCACATGGTCCAGCTGGTCCCAGGTTTCCTGTACGTGTGTCTGTTCAATTTTATGCCCTTGTCACCCTAGTCAGGTTTTCAGGACCCAGCCTTATGGGATGCTTCTCTGGGTCTTCACTTTCTCACCTTTCCATGCTCTGTCTGCATACGGCTTTTGCCAATCATGGAGATCATTTTCTTGATGCCTTTGGTGGTCTGTCTTCCTGCCTAGGATCATGTCTCTGTGAGGACAGAGATTGAATTGATCCAGTTGTCACCCCAGTGTCAGTAATAGGCTCAGATGCCTGTGTAGGGATGAAGAAATGTTCCCGGACCCCTGTATGTTGAGAGCTTAACTTTGTAACTGTGTACAGTATTACTGGTCCAGGTAATTTTTTTAAAGCCACCTTGCGTGTGGCGTCCCTGCAAGAATCAGGTTGTCAGGGGAATGATACAGGTGAAGTAAGAATGAAACTCAGGCCAGGCAGTGTTGCACACCTTTAATCCCAGTACTCAGGAGGCAGAGACAGGCAGATTTTTGTGAGTTTGAGGCCAGCTTGATCTATAGAGTTCCAGAACAGCTAGGGCTACACAGAGAAACCCTGTCTTGAAAAACCAAACCAAACCAAACCAAACCAAACCAAACCAAACCAAACCAAACCAAACCAAACCAAACCAAACCAAACCAAACCAAACCAAACCAAACCAAACCAAACCAAACCAAACCAAACCAAACCAAACCAAACCAAACCAAACCAAACCAAACCAAACCAAACCAAACCAAACCAAACCAAACCAAACCAAACCAAACCAAACCAAACCAAACCAAACCAAACCAAATCAAATCAGTCCAAATCAAATCAGTCCAAACCAGTCCAAACCAAAGAAGGAAACTTGGTTGAGCTTGACTCAGTAAGCTGGTGCCGGGCCAAACTTCTAGATTCTGACACCAGATGGTTTAACTTAGCACTATTTAAGCACGGCACAATTTGGGAAAAAAGGTTCCTGATTACAATTAACTCAGTTCCAAGGGTGCAACAAACCTAAGGCATGTTTACTTTGAGGCTTTTCACGAAGTGCACATGGCTTCTTCCATAAAGACGGGTTTCGTTGACTAAAAACAGTGGTTAAGATACAGGTCTAGGGAGAATGACTGAAGCAAACATAATGTCCCTGGGTATCAGGATTTTCCTTGCCCTAGGATAACATAGAAGTCACTTAGGCTGTTGTGAATCACGTGTGACATCTCTCATGAGGATGGTTTTATGGACTAAGAAGCAATGCTCAAGATTTAGGGGGAAGGCCTGGGATAAACAAACATGACATTCTGGGGGATTCGGGTGAAGCCTGGCTCTACAGATAGCAAAGATCTCCAGCTTGTAAACCACATCCTTGTCCAGCGTTCCAGGAAGAAGACAGGTGTCTTATTCCTTTGAAGAGGTAATTACACCTGTTTATGTTTTCCAGCTCCTCCAGTGCTCATCTGTGTGCACAAGGCCTTACCCTCGGTGCCCTGGAAACATTGTAAGAATCAGTCTTGAGAATGTAGAGGCCACCCAGCATTAATCTGGAATGGACTCAATGGAGTTTTTCCTCTCCTTAGAAGTTTCAGTCTTGAGTACTTCCTGTTGCTGAGACTCTTGTCCCTCTATTTATCCTTTCCCCTTGGGGACCAAGAAAAGTCTTTGGTCCCTTCCTAGGATTGCCCATGAGACTCCAGCCATGTAGGGAGCAGAGAAAACCCTGAATTCGTGTGGGCTGTTGACATGGCGTGGCCATGTCAAGGACACCATAACTTCAGCCTCAGAAAAATGGCACATCCTTCCTCAGGGGGACTAAGTGGGAATATTGACCTCATATGCAGAAAATGTCCACCACAGCTCTTTCTCTCCCATGGATATTTATGGCCTGAATGTTGTTCCTCTACAGAGACTGCTCCTAGACTACTGTTGCCTGGATCCAGTGTTCTCTACAAACCCCGTCTCCTTGTTCAGCTGTGTGCAATAGCCTCTCATCTCTGTTCAATACTCTAATAAACATGCTGTGCTCCTGGGTGCTGGGGTTTCTCCATCAGAGATCCCAGTCCATCCAATCCCAGGTTTCCCAGGTGTCTGTGTGTCCATCTGTCTTTTCTTCTTTCCCTCTCCATCCCAGTCTGGTCCATCCCGGTCTATTTGCCGTCTTTCTGCTCACTCCCAAGGTTGTTCTCCTCACCTGTAAGTAGGAGCCCCTGCCAGGGGACACATGTTGGGAGAAGGGCTGAGGGAGGGTCCATGGTCTGCTGTCTGCTTTTTCCTGCCTCTGTGGAGAAGAGCTCAGGCTTCAGGACTTCTCCCAAATCCTGACATCCCAGTGTCAGTTCTGTTGTCTTTTGTCACTCTGAACTGAGCTCATTTTGGGGCTGGACCTTTCAGGGTCACATGGGCTGGGGACAGGGCCCGTTCTTAGGACTCTTCCCTGTTTCCTACCTGTTTAGTCCTGCATCCTTTCCTCTCCCTTCCCTGTGTTAGTTTTCAGTTCCCCATCCCCCACAGACTGATGGGAGTCCTTATCAACTGTCTACTCCAGCACTGGCCTCTGCTGTGTCCTTGGCCTGGGGGTTGTCTTCATCATAGAGGGATGCCTTGGAGCCCCAAACTATGGGTGTGTTTCCTTTTGTGACACAGAAACCCAACAAGCCACCTGGTCTCAGTGTCATCTAGTGCTCTGGGACCGTAGGACTTACTCTCAGTAGGAAGGTGATAGAGAATGGCTCTAGGGCAGACAAATGGGCTATCCGAATCATTTACTGATGGAACAGGCCATCATGTTAGTCTGTGTTTCTGGGCAGAAATTTAGAAACAGAAAGAGCTTCATGCCCTGAAACTGCAAGAGGAGGTGACCTGGATATACACAGTGGTGGGGTGTTTGTTAGAACTGGGGTCTGCTATTCTTAGGTGCGGAGAGAACCTCTGTGTGTATTGTCTAGGCTGTGTCTCAGGTTTTCTCATCTCCTCTCTGACCTTCATGGGTATCCTATGTTCTCTGCTCAGGTGACTTTCCTGTCATCTCTCCATGTGGGTGATGCTTTAAGGTAATGGAGTGCACAGGTTCCTGATGGGGGAAGTACTTCTGTGTATGTTTATCTTATTGATTGGTTAGTAAAGTTCTGTTTGGCCAATGAGGCAGCAAGTTAGATGGGACTAGGAGTCAAAGAGGATTCTGGGAAATGTAGTCCAGAAGTGGTATTCCAGGCAGGAAGTGACATAGCAGGGAGACTCACATTTAAGCAAGGAGAAACAGGAAGTGTCCCCTTTCTCCTTCACCTGCTCCAGCGGCACCATGTGAGCCACCAGCAAGAGAGGGTGCCAGCGGAAGACATCCTCTATAAGTCTTATAAAATATATAGATTTATGATAATTAAGACTGATCTAACAGATGAGAAATCCTAGTCATTGGCCAAGCAGCTTTGTACCTAATATGTCTCTGTATTTTTTTGTCCATTCACGAGGCGGGCAGAACTCAGGCGGCTGGTGGAGACCACCCATGTGGCGGTAGGGATCGGGCAGCTTTTGGTGGAAAGATTTATCGTAACAGGTTCCCCTTATAGAGAAGGGGAAGATAGGGGAGTAGGCACCTTTGAGGGACTCATGGTTTGTTAGGTCACAGTATGGGAACCAGGCTGTGTATCCACCTCTTGATCCAAAGCCAAGTTCATGTCTTTTTTTTTATTTTTTTTATTTGAATTAGAAACAAGATTGTTTTACAAGTCAATTCCAGTTCCCTCTCCCTCCCGTCCTCCCTTACCACCCTCCAACTAAAACCCAACTATCATATATCCTTTCTGCTCCCCAGGGAGGGTGAGGCCTTCCATGAGGGGAGCAGAGTCTTTCGTATCCTTTGGGATAGGGTCTTGGCTCAGGGAGTATTCCTCTATATGGAATCGGCTCCCAAAGTCCACACCTATGTTAGGGATAAGTACTGAACTACTACAGGAGGTCCCGTAGATTTCTGAGGTTTCCTCACTGAAACCCATGCTCCTGGGTTCTGGATCAGTCCCATGCTGGTATCCCAGCTATCAGTCTGGGGACCAAGAGCTGCCCGATGTTCAGGTCAGCTGTTGCTGTGTTTCACTAGCCTGGTCTGGATCCCATTGCTCTTCATTCATCCTTCTCTAACTGGATTCCAGTTCAGTTCAGTGATTAGTTGTGGGTGTCTGCTCTACTTCCACCAGCTGCTGGATGAAGGCTATAGGATGGCAAATAATACAGTTATCAGTCTCATTATTAGGGGAGAGCATTTAAGGTACTCTCTCCTTTGTGGCTTAGACTAACTGGTGTCATCTCTGTAGATCTACAGACATTTCCCTAGTGCCTGATTTCTCTGTAAACCTAAAATGTCTCCTTCTACTATGGTATCTCCTTTCTTGTTTTCTTCTATTCTTCCCAAGACTCAACATTTCTGCTTCCTCATGTCCTTCTCACCCCTTCTCTTCACCCCTTCTCATTCTCCTAGTTTTCTCTCCCCTCCCCCATGCTCCCAATTTGCTCAGGAGATCTTGTCCCTTTCCCCTTCTCCAGGGGATCATGTATGCCTCTCTTAGGGTTCTCCTCAGGTACCAGCCTGTACAGCAGCATGGTCTACAGGCTGGCAATCCTTTGCTCTATGTCTAAAATCCACATATGAGTGAATACATACCATGCCTGCCTTGTTGTGACTGGGCTACCTCGCTCAGAATGGTTTCTTCTAGTTCCATCCATTTGCCTGCAAATTTCAAGATTCCATTGTTTTTTTTCTGGTGAGTAAATGTACCACATTTTCTCTATTCGTTCTTCAGTTGAGGGGCATCTAGGTTGTTTCCAGGTTCTGACTATTACAAATAATGCTGCTATGAACATAGTTGAACATATGTCCTTATTGTATTAGTGTGCATTCTTTGGATATATGCCCAAGAGAGGGATTGCTGGGTCTTGAGGTAGACTGATTCCCATTTTTCTGAGAAATCACCATACTGATTTCCAAAGTGGTT